GCAGTTCTCTTCACTTCATGACCTTTTACAAAGTTGACGCGGCACAGGCATGAACAAACATGATAACTTGACGGCGAACAGTTCTCCAAATCAAAAGCCAGGACGACAGTTTTTATGCGGACAGTCTCTCTACCACAGACCGAGGCGTCGAACAGCTTCGAAGGTACTCACACCAATTGTTCATTGCTGTTGATGATGGCATTGTTGATGATGATGATGATGATGATGATGATGATGATGATGATGATGATGAGTGGTGATGATGATGATGATGATGATGATGATGATGATGATGATGATGATGATGACGATAATGATGATGATGATGATGATGATGATGATGATGATGATGATGATGATGGTTAATGATGATGATGATGATGATGATGATGATGATGATGATGATGATGATGATCGATGATGATGATGATGATGATGATGATGATGATGATGATGATGATGATGATGCTGAGGATGATGATGGTGAGGATGATGATGATGATGGTGGTGTTGATTATATTTATGATAATACTGAGGTTGATGATGATGATGATGATGATGATGATGATGATGATGCTGAATCGGAAGAGCGTCGTGTAGGGAAAGAGTGTAGATCTCGGTGGTCGCCGTTTTGAGCACGCTGTAATCACTGTAATCTAAATTTACTAATTTAGAAAACTCTCCCCTCCTCTCCCCCTCCCTCCATATATCAGACATCTTATGTTTCAATCCCCTAGTTAGATGTTTAGTTAAACAGTTTATTTTCGTAGGTTAATTTCGTAACCTTGCGTGGCAAGCTTTGAAGGATCAAACGGATGATTCTCTTGCCATATTGAAGCATTGCGAGTCTCGCCGCCTCCGTGTTTAGCGGGAATTTGTAGCTAACACTCTTCGGCAACACGTTATTGTCAAGACACCTGCGCATGAAGGGTAAACGTTTCCCATTTTTGGGGCAATCGGAGCGTATCGTGCCCAAATAAATTGTCAATACAAGCAAACATGCGAGTCCCAGGAAGTTATTGAAAAGAAGACGACTCGATCGCTGGGACAACACTTTTATTAGCCTGACGCAGATCTCGAAATGCCAGACGAATAGAAGTGTTTTCCCAGTGTTCTTTCCAGTTTATTTTGTCTAGCAGAGAGGCAATTACCCTACGCAGCTGAATAGGAGGTCAATAAATTCTGTGTGTTTCATCGTCTTTCCCTTCCTCAGATGTTGTGTCAACCAACCGGAGTTTTGAGCTTACGCCTCAGTCCGACCCGGATATGGTCGATCAGCACGGACGCCACAGTGTCGCGAAGCCGAGAAGTTGAGTCACATGCGGCGTAGGCAGCCAACAGACTGTCGCTAGGTCATATAGACCGCAATGTACAACAGCGTGGGCTTCGGACAAAACCGAAAATTTGAAAAGTCGATTTGGCAAACATATGTTTGCCAAATCGACTTTTCAAAT